ATTGAGCAGATTGTGCACAATATGTTAGTATCCAGAATTATACGACCAAGCAAGAGTCCTTTCCCCAGTCCGGTATTGTTGGTAAGTAAGAAAGATGGGGGTGGCGTTTTTGTATCGACTACAGGGCACTCAACAAGATCATTGTTCTAGACAAGTTTTTGATCCCCACGGTTGATGAGCTATTCGATGAATTAGGCGAAGTTGTTATCTTTTCCAAGCTAGGCCTCAAATCCGGTTACCACCATATTCAGGTAAAGGACGATGACATATAAAAAACAGCGTTCTGAACACACGAAGGCCATTACGAATTTCTTGTACTGCCTTTTGTTTTATCTAACGCGCCATCCACTTTCCAAGCCCTGATGAATGACATTTTCAAGCCCTACCTTCGACGATCCATACTGGTCTTCTTCGATGACATCTTGATATACAATGCTACCATGGATGCCCATCTGGATCACTAGCATATTGCCTTTCAGATTCTGGAACAACATCAGCTTATGGTGAACCAAAAAAAATGTAAGTTTGTGCAAACTCGTTTGGATTACTTGGGTCATATTATATCTGCTATGGGTATCTCTGTTGATCCGGCCAAAATTGATTGTATTTTGTCTTGGCCTGTACCAAAGGACATTAAGGCCCTTCAAGGTTTTTTGAGGCTCACCGGCTACTATCGGAAGTTTGTACAAGGGTATGGCACAAGAGCAAAAGCACTCACTGACTTGCTTCGCAAAAACTCTTTTATCTAGACAAAATCTGCCCAGGCAGCTTTCCAAGAACTAAAACAAGTGATGCAACGGTACCTACTCTGGCTATGCATAATTTCTCCAAGACACTCGTCATCGAAACAAATGCTTCAGGTTTGGGACTCGGGGTTGTCTTAATGCAAGAAGGGCGACCATTAGCATTTATTAGTTAGGGACTTTCACCCCGGTCCCAAGCAAAGTCGGTTTATGAAAGAGAACTTATGGCAATTGTTTTGGCAATGCAAAAGTAGAAACACTACCTTCTTGGACGACATTTTGTTATAAGAACTGACCAACGAAGCCTTCACTACTTGAATGATCAAAGATTACTTGGGGAAGGTCAACAGAAGTGGATTGTCAAGCATATGGGCATGGATTTTGAGATACAATACAAATCTAGGCTGGAAAACAAGGCAGCTGATGCCTTATCCAGGAGAGTAGAATGGACATAATGCAATGCAATCTCTACTTGCTATTTTGGCAGCCGAGATGAGTGGAAAGAATCCATCCGACAGGATGAGAAGTTGAGCAAAATCAGTCAGGATTTGATTACGAATCCTCAAAGTCATCCACACTTTCGTTTGGTGGGGCATTAGTTATTTTATGATGATCAACTCGTTTTACCACGATCGAGTTCACAAGTTCAGCTGCTTCTTCGAGATTTCCACTCAAGCCCCATGGGTGGTCATTCTGGGTTCTTCGTTACTTACAAACGACTATCCTAAGTTGTATATTGGGAAGGCATGGAAGGGGACATCCAAAAGTTTGTTCGCAACTACTCTCTATGACGGCTAGTTGATGACACCTATGAAGTTTTGATCAAATGGAAACACCTGTCAACTTGTGACAATACTTAGGAACCTTATGAAGCTATCTACCATCAGTTTCCATCCTTTCATCTTGAGGACAAGGTGGCACTTCTTGGGGAGGGTAATGATGGACCCTGCATTTCAAAGTGGTACACATGTAAGGCAAAGGCACAAGACAAAGGGGGAAAAGGGGGAAAACACATTGAGACAAGTGGCTAGGCAGAAAATGCATTGAGACAGGTGGCTAGGTAGTTAGTTAGGATTGGGATTTGGGTGTCAAAATAAAAGGGGAAGAATGGGCAGAGGGGCGACCTTCTGAAATTGGTGTATTGGTTTGTCCTGGAAGGTGCTGGCGCTCGAAGACCAACTTATATTTTTCTTTTTTTGTTTCCAGTTGTTATTTGGTTATTTGGGTCTGTTGAACATAATTCTTAACCTTTAATAGAATCGTATTTGAATTCCCTTGTCTAGTTATTGTTCTGGTTTATATTGGTTATTGTTCTGATTTATATTGATGTGTGTGACATCTGGTGTTGCTGTGGTTGTGTGGATTGTTTGGAAGTTGTGTTGCAAGTAAGGAATTCCAACAGAGGTATCCATCAATTCACTTTTGATTTTTTATTACTGCAGATATAAAGCTTTCAAGTAAAAACATAGAAGAAGATAAATAATAGATTTTTTTTCTTTTTTTTTTTACAATTATATGTCCATTTAAACTTGAATATGGGGTTGAAAAATAAAAATAATGATGGCTACAAAATCACTTGCCCTTTTCATATCTTTAATTTGTAAAACAGATAGTGTTTTTGGAAGAGAGAGAATGGGTAAAAAGTTGGAATGTGTAAACCTTAGGCCCAGCCTAGGCTTGCCCGGGCTACACGAATTTGTTTCCAAAATGCAAGCCCAAGCCTGTGGCAGACCTACCGAGTTGGCTATATGACAAAAGGGGTTTTTATAAATTTTACTTCATAGGTGAGAGTTAGATTAATTAATAGGAGTTATCTACGATTTTACATTATGAGTAAACGACTTTTTCCCACCTAAGGTTTTCCTTCATGACCCTTTTCCACCCAAAATATTTCAAAATGCTATTTTCTAACCCAAAGTTTATATTCTGACCAATAGCGGGCTGATTCTGACATCTTCTCAACCCCACACCACTATTATTCTTTTCCTTAACCATCACTCATTAAAATCCTTCAAACCTTGCTTCCGTCGACCTCGTCAATCGTCGGCAATCGAGTGATTTGTGAAACGCATAGCTACTTCTCCCAAGTCAGATTCCGACCAATCTTGACCACTAAAATCTAACATGTCACCATCAACAAACTAACTGACATTCTCTCTTTAAAAATCCTAACAGCTTGGATTGGGTTTTCTCTTTGTTGGTTGTCAAATCAAAAAGTATATTGTGGATAATAAACGGAATATAGACTTTGAGTAAGAAAGTTGTATTTTGAAACTTTTTGAATGAAAAAGTGTTAAGGTAAACGTTGGGTGGGAAAAACTCGCTTTACTCTTTACATTATTAAAGGAGGCTGAACTAGTTTTCATGGGCTCCCTATAATATTCTAGGAGGTTCTCTATATTTTATGTAAGTGAATATTAATAATATTGTAAAACCTCATCTAGTATGCTTAACAAAGGTGTTAAAAAAAATCAAAAATTGATCGGAAACTGAACTGGAAAAGTGATTTTTTGAAAATCGATTTGGTTTGTGTTGACAAAATTGACTGAACCGGTTTTACAGTTCAGTTACCGGTTCAGCCAATTTGGGTTAACCCGAACCGGTTTAAAAAACATGGTTTTTTTTTTTTTTTTTTAAATTCCTAAATCTAATTTTAATCTAATTCAGTTCATAACTGCGTAACTCCACACTCCGCAGCTCACCCTCACCAGAAGTCCTCACAAATTCCATAACTTTGCACATCCAGTCACCGACTTCACAAATTCGGCTGCTCTTCACAACCAGTCACTGCCGCCCGCCGGTTCGTCGGAGTCCACACAACTCTTCACAAATTCCGTCAGAGTCCGCGCGCCTGCTCTTTACTTCTTCAATCTTCAGTTTCTTCACAAATTCTGCAACTCACCGTCGCCAGTCACTGTCGCCGATCTGTCAAGCTCACGTGTCCAACTTATCCGACAACCGCCGTCTGCCGATTCCAACTCCAACAGACACCGAAATGGTTTCTTTCCATTCTCTTACTGAAAGGGTATCTTTTTCTCTAATGCCTTGTCATCATTTCATCATCATCAATTTGGATTTGCATCTGGTGTAGCATTTTTAAATAAAAATTGCGATTAATTGGCAACTTAATAATAAAAAAGAAATAGCTTAAAAACCAAACTTATATCAACCGGAATTGCAATCCCAGCCCCAGGCTCTCCTGCTTTGGCCTTATTAAGTTTAATTTTTTTTATTTAAAAGCTCTTTCAAAACCGGTTAACTGCCTTTACGGTTCAATTTAAAACCAGTTCAAGCAATCAACCGATTCAATTTCGATTAAGATTTTTGCTTGAACCGATTTTCCGATTCGATTTGAAAAAATGAACCGATTCAATCCAATTAACCCGTTTTAAACACACTTAATACCTAGACCTGGTTATCAAAGCCTAGGTTTAGCCGTTTTAAACACTCTTAATACCTAAACCTGATTATCAAAGCCCAGTTTAGGAGATGATTATTTAAGCTTATAAGTTCATCAAATCACTTATAAACTCTAAAATTAAATTAATTTGTTTGTTTATAATTTTTTTAGATTTATGAGCCACACAAAAATAAGTTGAAAAAACGTACTTTTTTTTTTTTTAATTTGTAAATACTTTGTTTATAAAGTATATTACCATATTATTTTTACTTAATTCATTATATTTGTTCGATTATTTTGTATAAAGAATCTAAAAGTTATTCATATAATTTCTTAATAAAATATTTATCTTTATTTAATTCTAAAATTAAATTAAATTATGATATTATTGAAATATATTTTCATAGTATCATAGTAAAAAATTGAGTTAATATAATTTATTATTTGACAAAATAATGTAATATCTCTTTTAATCATTTTAATGACAAAATGTTTTATCAAATATTCAATCAGTATTTTAGGATTCACGTAACAGTTTAAATTTCAAATGTTTATAAAATTGAATTACCTAACTACTTATAAACTAATTTTTTTATAAACTGAACCAAACAAATCTAAGTTTTATATCCTCATTATAAATTCTTAAAAAGAAACTGATGCAACTTTGCTAGCCAAGGTCGAACAAAATAATTTTATTCGGTTTAAAGTTGAGTTGAGATTGAACAAAATATAAATTTTATGCACATCATTTAATTTGGTTTGTTTGCAAACTATATTTATATATCACCCAAATAACCTTTTATCTATCTATTACTATAAAAAACAGAAGCAACGCTGAATCTCAACCAACCAAAAAGAAGTAAATAAACAAATAAATGATGAGAACAAATTGAAACCTATAATCCACACAAGAAAGCTGGTGATGGGCCGAAAAACCTGTAAGATTGAGAGTGCACAAAAATATTTCAGACGTCAAATCTTATATTTGAACTCTTCAACACAAAAGGCCATGCAAACCTGGTAGGTAGGATATCCATCTGCTGTATGATTTCACCCGTTCCTTTGACACACACACACACCGCAGAAAATTGGGGAAGACAAGTTCATTCAATAACACGTCAGCTTTTGGGGGCAAATGCAGCTAGGGCATTAGCATGTGCAGGTGAGAGGTTACTCAGCAATGGTTGAATTTGTTGGCCATACACAGAAATCAGATGAGAAAAAGCCCTTCCGACTACAGCCTTTACTTCACAAGTTTCGTCTGAGGAAACCACTACTTGGGCAAAAATATTAACCAACTCCGGAACAAGTGAAAGGATCTGTTTTACATCAAAAACAAATGACATCACTGATTACTGATTACTGATGGAAATAAGATTTATAAAGCACGTAACTTCAGTGCTGTGTGCATATAAGCTATATAATATCACAAATACAAAAACCTGGGGATTTGATGACAAAACCAGAGTGGAAACACAACTATAAACAGCCATTGATTCCTCATGGTCTTCCTTTAGAGGAAGAACCTTCAGGAAAACAGGAAGGACCTAGGAACATAGCATAGTGAAGAGCATAACCACAGGAGATATAATTAGCTTACTTTGTAGTCATGAAAATACACAAGAAAAAGTAAATTAAAATATAAAAGCCAATCAACCAAAATTAACCTGATTCAGTGGGACGGACTGAGGATGCACCATTATCATCCTTGCCACAGCACCAGCTGCATTATCCCTAACAGCATCATCTGGCTCACAATCCCCAAATAATGGGTAAAGTCCCCGCAAAATGTCACCATAGTATCTAGTATACATCAAAGGAAAACATGTTGTAGTTCGACAACAGATGAGTCGATTACAGGTTAAATTCAATAGTTACTAACACTTCATTACTGGATCTTATGATGATTATTTATACAAGGATACTTCAAACTTAACTCGCCCCCATTTTTGCACAACTCCCCAACACAAAATGCTGCATTCCTCCTGTTAGTTGCTTCTGATGACGCTAGTTCTTTGAGTACCAAAGGCATCACTCTCTGAGATATTACATAAACCTTCAGGAATTAGCTTGCATTGTTCCAGAAATCACTCAAGACACACAGTTGAATATGTATATCAGAGTTTCAGAAAAAAGTACATCAACATAGCCTGCAATTGGAGCACCCATGTCCTGAGCAACTTCAGCAAGGCAAGCAACCACCATGGTCTGATCTTGTGGAGGACGCGAAGATTTCTGCACTTGCATATAATCAAATAGTGAGCTGCAATAAGGAAATCAAACTATGCATGGGAGAAACACATGACATAATTATCAATCCTCAACAAACCGCGAATTTCATTAAAGGGTCAAATAGCTTTGCAAAGATGGGTGCAAAGTGAGGACCCATTGACTTTGCAAATGCAGGAAGAAGGTCAGACACTGCATCCATAAGCACTTCATCATGTTCAGTATCATCCTCATCAATATCACTATCATTATCCGATTGCTGACAAGCAGATTCCTCCCGCAGAAGCCGCAAAGTTGCATCAACCAACAAAGACATATCTGTGATCAAGTCACATAATAATTCAGTTGCCCATAAAGATATTTAATCTGGCAGCCAGAGATTTTTTCACCAATAGAGAAAATGAATCCAACTTAATTCTAACTTACAAGGCTCAATAGCAATGTAACCATAATCCTTGATGATTTCTACAATGCTCATACAGGCTTGAGCAACAACTTCTTTGTCGTCATCTTCGGTCATAGTCTTGATAAATATATTCATCACAGTATCTGTGATCATATAGAACTCATTACCACTACAAAACAAAGCTATTTGATAAATCCAAAGAACTAATTCATGCCACTTCAGAGGTAGAATTCTTACCAAGAACTGCTCTTGCCTTCACTGGTCCTTCCTGTGCAACAGAAAAAAGATTGCATCATGTTATACACTTTACAACTTACAATACTGAAATTAGCTTCAAACCTAAGGTGGCTATCCAAAAGAGTACTTGTACTCTACCTAGAATTGACAACAATCCCACACTACCCATGGGAACAGAAAACATTATAAAAGAGAGAGACATACCAAAACAAACTATTAAACAAAGAACAAAAAATGCTACACCACACTCACATTATGACTCTGGAAGATAGCATGTGCTGCTGTCAAGATATCTGCAATAACAAATCAATCAACATGAGTTGTAATAGTAAATTTAACACATACAATATGTCCACTATGCAAACGGACATAATAATAGCAAATCTTTAACATTGATGTGTCTTAAATTTTCCAAATTTCTAATATCACGTGTGAACTGAAGAAAGACAACCTGTCAGTGATTAGCCTGTTGGACAATTTTTCAATTATATCATCATAGAACAAAGGAGTACAGTAACACATGCGAGAGGGAAAAAAAAAAACCTAGTAAGGCACATAGACTTAGGACATTAGAACATAATCATAAGCATAGACTCAATATTCAATCGTCAATTTCTTTCTTTCCTTTACTTATATCCCCAAAGAACTCCACAATTTTTCTCATATCTGTATCTAACATATTCTAATTTTTCGTGAAACTATGTCCTTGCAGTGACACTCCTCTACTTCCACCATTTGCCAAAACTTCTACTACAATTATGATGCCCAAGCAACATATTTTAAATTTTAAACAGAATAAGCCACCATTTAATGAAATTAGAATTTAACAAGATAANTTTTTTTTTTTTTTTTTTCTAAACCCTGTAATTGCCTCTTGAAAACAAGATCTTAGGGTATAACTAATTCCAATGACTAAATGATTTATCATCATACCACAAGGGAAGAGGTTATTAAATGAAGATTTTAATAATCTAAATGGGGGTTTAATGATACATTAAAGAAGAGTAAGTTTCACATTAAGCGATCATACGAAGTATATAATAATTAGAATATCTCAGTCTAACATCTTAATGCAATTTATGTATCCATTTTTGGAGGATAAAGGCATTAACATTAGGGCTGTTAAAAAAAATGTAAAAACCAAACCGAATCAATTTTCTAGTTATTTGAAAAACAGATTTGGTTTAGGTTCAAAGAAATACAAAGACCAGTTTTTTCGGTTCGGTTACCAATTTACGGTAACCAAAACCGATTTATTATAAAAATAACAAAATTTATAATAAAAACAATAAAAATCAAAATATATACCGGTTTACTAGAAAAATAATAAAATATAAAACCGGTTTAAATTAAGAAAAAATCAAAATAAAAAATAAGTTAACGGAAAAACCTGCTAACTGAAAAATTAGTTTTCCCCTTAAGGCCTTAACTGGTTCGGTTTAGGTTCAAGAAAATTCATGAACCGAAAAACAGGTTCGGTTCAGAAAATCAATTAACCGGTTATGAACACCCTTAATTAATATTATCATCATAAACTACAATGTCTTTCTCATACAGTATTGTTTTCGGTTCTACACGTTAAATACTCTACCCACCCCGTAATGATATTATATAAGTATCATAGAATATAATAATCTTTCACAACTTTAGATCCCTTATAAGGAACCTTGTAGTTCATTAAATGGGCCATATTCGTTTGGTTTGAGTCTTTGAGATATCAGCTTCATCAATCAGCAGGGCTAATTCACAGCACATTGTCTCCAAAGTTGTATGATAAACATTAACATACCAATTTCACATGAGTTTACATCGCTATAACATTACATTATCGTTAAATTTGTAAAAACTCATATGTGAAATTTGTAAACCAAAAACGTAAAACAAGCAAAAGGCACAAAAATGCCTTAGAATCCATAAAGATTTGAATGGTTAAGCACATAGTACTTAGAATTCAAAATGCCGAGTTACAAACTAGAAACAACTAGATAAGCCTCTAATCCGCAAGGATGCAAATACACTATGGTATAACACTATCATGCCATGATCTCAATGTAAACAAAAATTAAGGAAAACTGGACCACATTATTGATATTACAATTTACTAAGTTCCTATCAAAGTAAATTTCGAAAATAAAACATGATCGACTTCCATAAAGGTTGCATTAATCTGCCAGTGAACCACAGCTGCTCTTCAGAATGCTAATATCTGGAAAGGGGAGAGGTCTTCAGTCCAGTTTCACTGAAGAGAACAAGTAATGCACAAACCAGAATGAAGAAAGGAATCCAACTGTGCCTGTTGCTAGCATGATTGCTATGACCATGACAAGAGAGTATCCCAAATAAAGAGTGGCCGAGACAGGTCCACTCAAACTTCGGAGATCAAAAATGAGATAGTTTATGGAGTACAAGAAAATGTAGATTGCTACTGATCCTGACGCAAAGAAGGATTTCCACCACCATTTCCAGTCCTCAACACAAAGATGCATGTATGTGAGAACAAGAGACACTTCGGCGCAAACCACCACAAGCAGTATCAAAACAATCAAGAGGAAACCGAAGACATAGTAAACACGACCCATCCAGATGCTAGACATGATAAAGAAGAGCTCAATGAAGAGGGTACCAAATGGAAGAGTGCCAGCACCAAGAACCAAAAGCCAAGATGGGTATTTCTGGGCCGGGATTTCACGTGGAATCTGGTTGGTTCTAACAGGGAATTCAATATGAGGTGCCTTCGCCCCAAGGTAACCGCCAAATAGGGTAAGGGGCACAGAGATACAGAACCATAGCAGAAGCAGAATAACAAACAAAGAGAATGGAATGGCTCCTGTGCTATGACTACCCCACAACAGGAAATTCAAAGTTGTTAGAATCAAAAAGGCAATACCAGGGAAGAAACAAGCAACCCTCCATGCCACAGAAATCCATCCTTTAAGATCACCACAGCCAATTGTCCTCCATAGACGAACAGCAACATAGCCACCTGGAACACCAAGAATCATGTAGAAAAACAGCATACCTCTGATAAGAGTTCCACGGGAAGCTGGTGACATGAATCCAAGAGCAGCAAACAAAATAGTCACGACAGCCATCCCGAGAATCTGAACTCCATCTCCAACAACAATACACAAAAGTCCAGGATTGCTTGGGGCACGGAAAACATCCCCCACAACAAGCTTCCACCCAGACAACTCCTCGTTCATCTGTGCTTGAGCCTCCTTGTCAAGCTCCTCATACCGAGTCAGATCCCGCCGAACAGTCCTCAAAAAGATCACAAGAACAATACCAGCAAGGAAAGTAATAACCATAAGGGAATTCAAGATTGAGAACCAATGGACCTTTGATCCCTCCATCTTCAAATAAGCATCCCAACGGGATGGCCACTTGATATCACTCATATCAAAGTTAACCTCATAAGTAAACACAATTGGTTGACCCTCCTTAATAGGCATAGACACAATGTTCGAATCACATTTAATCTGACTCGGGTACTTACCATATATCTTCAAATCCTTCACCAAATCAACATTATGCATCACACTACATGGCACAACCTCAAATCCAACAACCATATAACCCGGCACATCAGATCCCTCACTCGCTTTCGTGGGAATCACATCAACCGCATCGCCAGTACCCATAACACGAGCAACATTAGTTTCCTCATACTTATGGACAAGAACCTTAAACTTCAAATGATTAAACACATAATAGGCATCTTGATACTTAACCCCAACTGGAAACCCCGTCCACCTCAAAAGATAGCCATCCTTTTTGGTGTACCTTATCGCTGGCAAATTATCAAGGATCAAATTAACCTGATACATCTCATCAATCCTCTTCTTCAACAAATCGAAATTATCTTTCGATAACGGATCCGTTTTGCACAAAAAGATATCACTTTCATTGGTGTACATCTTAAACCTATAGGGAGAATTTTCAATCCTATCACCCATCAAAAGCTCACCAAGATTCTCAGCACTATCTTTGACGCCCTCTTGAGGCTTACAAAAGGGCAAACTGTAATAACTAAAGGGCATTTCGGTGTCTATGGAAGTGAGTGAATTAACTTTCACAGACAACGCATCTCCGACAACGTATTTGTGAGGGTAGCTACCAGGCAAGTAAAACCCATAACAAAAGGATTGAAATACAAAGAAAACAAACAACACCCAGATGCTAAAATTGCAAGTTAAATCCATTCTCGATCAGTTTTGGATGAATTCAAGGCAGATCTGGGAGACCCAGATCGTGAAATGAATGGAAAAGCAAAGATATGAAATAGTAAAAGCAATATACAATCAATAAATGAAGAAATAAAGAAGGTTAGAGAGGGATCTGGATCTGACTGACCTTTGAGAGAGATGGAAAAGTGAGAGTCTCTGTGAAGAAGGAGAGATTTGTATCAGAGAGTCTTATATGGGATGGATTTGATTTTGTTACCATCATTTACAAGTTCTGCTGTTTTGGCCTTTTACACACTATTGGTTACTTAAAATAAATCATTTAATAGTAAACTTAATCTTAATATTTATAAGAAAATTTGAGCTTATAAATATGAAATTTTAGATAGTTATGTGTTTAGTTAAATTTGAGTTTATAGGTTGTGGTGGTATATCTTCATCCAAATAATAATAATATTTCACATGTTGGTGGCTCTGATTTAAAAACCAGACCGGACCGACCTGTCCGATCCGGACCCGACAGCTTCTCTGATCCGGTTCAGGTCTTAGGGGGTTTTTATAATATTTCAAAATTATAAGGGTTAATTTGTAATCTTATAAGGGTGTTTTTAAGATATGTCAAAGTTTAGAGATTAATTAGTAATTTTTTGGGGCATTTTTGAAATAATTAAAAATTTTAGGGACTAATTTGAACCTTTTAGAGAAATTTTTGTAATATATTAAAATTTGAGGGATTAATATAATTTTTTAAAAATGAAATTATCGTTGATGTCATCGGTCCAACCGACCGATTGGACTGGTTGACCCGTGACTTGGACAGCAAAATGGGTTGTTCTCCAATCCAAATTTTAAAACAATGGTTGGTGGGTCGACATGGTAGAAAAAGGTTCATTAATGTCTTGCCAAACTTTCATTAGAGCTAAAGAAGTTGGATCTTAGGTTCATGGATCACAAAAGTTATTTAATCTTCTTTGACTTTGTCATGGGATGTTACATTAAATCATATGTATAATATATACAGTTGAGCTTTTTATATCATAGCTTGCTTTAGCTTTAGCTTAGGTCTAACTCCACTTCATACTAGAACAAAGTAGAACTCATTTGAAACTAGAGTCATATAACAAAGTTTTAAGTTATAGCACAATAAAATCGAGATCTAATTTCATCCCACATGTTTATTTTGCTTTCTAAATACATTTTTGACAAGTTTCATGTGCCCTTGTGTTTTATATTTCTTGATATGTACAAAAAGGTCAAAACAAAAAAGTCTTAAATAGATAAATATATCGCATCATCTATAAATATGTTCCATAAAATATATATGAAATACAATTTTGTTGGATAAACTTTTATGTTTCAAATGAATAACGTGATATGTATGTTGTATCCAATACTTTCTTGTAATCGAAACAGATGACATAGTTGAAAGGCTTAAACTCACCAAGAGTTTAGTGAGAGAAGAAGCAGTTTAACCGCCACAATTTCATTATACTGTGATTGAATCTTGAAAGAGTGAAAGTTACGTTACATTTTCATGATGAAGAAAGCATACCAAAAGATAATAAAATATGGAATGGACTCATAAGGAAAAATAGTTTCATGAAAAACAACATCACGGCTAGTGAACATTTTGTGCGTGGCGAGGTCATAGAGCTTGTAAGCTTGACCAACTGGATAGCCAAGAAAAATACATCATTTGGCTCGAGGAGCGAATTAATGGTGGACGTGCACATTAGTAGCATAGGTAAGGCACCCAAAAATTCGAATATGTGAATAAGAAGGAAGTTTACCATAAAGTCGTTCAAAAGGTGTTTGGCAAGAGAGGAATGGTGTCGGCAAACGATTGATTATATGAACAACAGTAGAAACATATTCTATCCAAAAATGTAAAGGAAGGTGGGCTTGAAAATTAAAAGCTCTAGTGGACTCAAGTACATGGCGATGCTTATGCTCTACAGCCCCATTTCGTTGAGGACTATAGACACAAGAATGTTGGTAAGTGGTCCCTTTTTGTTTAAAAATTCCTGCATAGAGTAAAATTCTCCACCATTATCAACCCAAATGTTGGCTATAGAAACATGGAATTGTGTTTAGACAAATGAGAAAAAATTGACAAGTAAATGTTGTTTTTCACTTTTGTGATGCATAAAAAATACCCATGTGAATCTAGAATAATCATCCACAATAGTCAAAAAATATTTTGCACCAGAAAGAGAGGCAATTTTATAGGGGCCCCAAATGTCACAATGAATTAATTCAAAAGGTCTAACAGTCGAAATTGAACTAACAGAGAACGGAAGTCGACTTTGTTTTGCAAGTGCACAAACATCATAAGCATTATTAGACTGAAAAGGGAAATTTAACAAATGTTTTGCCATAAAATCTAATCTAGAGGAAGACAAATGCCCTAATCGGCGATGCCATAAAGAGGTGGAGGAGGTGACCTGAGAACTGGGTGAACGGCAAGAAGCGGCTGTTGTGGATGGAGTTTGAGGTTTTGGCTTCTTTGACACTAACGCAGCCAAGTAATAAAGTCTGTCTCGTTGTTCACCTAAACCAATCGTCGTCTTCGTCGTCAAGTCCTGCAAAATACACCAATAAGGGAAAAAGGTTACTAAACAATTGAGATCTCTGGTAACTCGACTCACAGACATTAAATCCAACTTAAAAGATGGCACAGTAGGCACATTTTTTAAAGTAACAGCAGAATTCAAAGGTAAATTCCCAATGGATGTAATCGGAGCATGTTCTCCACTTGGCATAGCAACTGGTGGCAAAAATGTGTTCTTATTGTCGTTGACAAACAAAGTTGGAGATAAAGTAACGTGGTCTGTGGCACCACTGTCGATAATTAATTGATGGAGGCGCAACAAGGTATGTAACAAACCTAAGGAAGTAGCATTAGCTTTAGAATTGGCAGATTGTGTTGTTCCTTTACCCTGCATGATAGATAAGATTTGTTGGATTTGCAAATCAGAGAGCCCATTTGTCACCGACGGCACTTCTTGCATTATTGGACTTTCCTTGACATTGTTGACTGAAGATTGAAGACTATGGTTGTGCTTGAAATGAGTGTGTCCTTGATTAAACATGTTTGATGCATGTTTAGGGTGTTCTGGTGGGTACCCATTCAGCTTCCAACATGTTTCTCGTACATGATGGTTACGGTCACAATAAGAGCAATGCAAAGGTTTTCGATTAGATGTGTTGGAACGAGAAAAAGAACCTTGTCCATGTCTAACAGCCAGAGCCACCGGTTCAGCCCTTCGAACAACCATGGTTGAGTTCTCCGCTGTCTCACGTGCAGCCCCCAAGCTTCGCTGCTTTTCCTCTTGTACAATGGAAGAGCAAGCCTTGGCAGCATCAGGTAGTGGATTCATCAATAGAATTTGCCCTCGGATTGCACTATAGGACTCATTGAGTCCCATGAGAAATTGCATCAATCTGTCTCTCTTATGTTCTACCCCACAAGAGCAAACGGTGCATTATAGGATCCTAGTTCATCCCATAATTTTTTTAGTCTTGTGTAATAAGCTACAACAGTCATCTGATCTTGAGCAAGACAAGCAATGTCCCTCTCAATTTGAAAAATACGAGGGGCATTGCTTTGAGAAAAACGATCCCGAAGGTCTTCCCATACCTCCTGGGTGGTGGTTGAAAAAATGACACTATCTGCAAGGTCTTGTGTGAGTGAATTGAGAATCCAAGAGAGGATCATATCGTTGCATTTTTTCCATGAAGCATAGTCGTCTGGTTTGGCTATGGCAGATGGGATTGTGGTGGTCCTGTCTACGAAACCTAACTTGGATTTGGCGTTCAAAGAAATTGTCATGACTCTACACCATGTCGAATAATTATCCTCATTGACGGGCCTGGAAACAAACACCATTCCTGGATGATCGGAATGGTAAAGAAAATATGGATTGGCAGCATCAAGCTTGCCTTCATTCAAAGGTTGCTGTTCTTTCATGATAAAGAGAAACAACGATAAAAAGAAGGCAAAATAAAGAGAGTAGATGTAGAGAAACAGCGATAAAAAGAAGGCAAAAAAAAAAAAAAAAAAAAAGAAGGAAACAGATGCACAGAGCTAGGGTATCGTGCCTTGCTCTGATACCATGAAAAGAAGAGAAAAAATATTTGCCTTTTGAATGAATTTTATTGAATTATAAGACGTAGCTTTATACAAAAGATTTCCTCCAATCATGCTAGTCTATTCTAGGTAGTCTAAGTATAAAAGGCAACTAAACAAATATATCCTACAATCATGCTACTCTATTCTAGGTAGTTTAAGTATAAAAGGCAACTAAACAAATATATCCTACAATCATGCTAATCTATTCTAGGTAGTCTAAGTATAAAAGACAATTAAACAAATATACAATTAATACAATATATTTTTCAATGAATGGCCAGATATCATTGACTTTCCTTTCTCAATACATTGGCATACATCTTAAACCGATAGGGAGAATCCTCAATCCTGCCACTCATCAAAGGCCTTGAAGATGAAGTGAAGAGAGAGTTTGTAATTCATAAAGTTATATATGATGGTAAATATTTATGTAAATCTCATAAAATTTGCAAATAATGTGTCATGGAGTTTGATTGGCATGGTAGAAAAAGGATCATTAATGTGTTGAATAACTCCGATTAGAGCTTAAATAGTGGAGAACATGGATAAGAAGAAAAATTTCTATAATAATATCTAGATCTTGGTTCACTTGGATCACAAAGTTTTTTAATCTTCTTTGACCAATTGTGTCTTGGGAGCTATTATTTAATTATATATAACATAGCTTAGTTTTCTATATCATAACTTACTTTAGCTTAGATCTAACTCTAGTTCACACTGGAACATAGCAAACTGATTAAACCTAAAGTCATCTTTGATCCAAAACCTTTAGTGTGCTTTTCAAAAGCTCCGATGCTTTGAGGTCCCTTCCTTGTCGAGTTACCACGAGATTCCCTCCTCCTCGAGTCACCGTGAGACTCCTGCCTCTCTGAGTCACCGCGAGATACCTTCCTTGCCGAGTCATCATCAATGTTTAAAAATTCCACACCCAACCCACGAGATTTAGGTCGTTGGACCACTTCAATGGGTTTTGACATACATTGACCATCCTTTCCCAATCCTCACCCTCTACATATCCCATTTTAGCCACCATTTTGGATCCAAAACCCTTAGTGTGTACCTGAAATGTACCAACCTATGTCAAGCTGGTTGGGCCCTTACTTTCAAATGTTTCAGTTGTCTCTATAGAATCTAGTGTTTTGATCTCAACA